AAAACTTTGTATTGATTACTGTTTGAAAACCTTCTGAGTGACTATGGACAGTTTCAAAGTGATTCGATTAAATTGGGGGGAAAGTTGATGTTCAAACGATTGGAACAACATCAAGAAACTCTATTATAGCTGAAATAATCGATCATTTACAACGTACTATATTTTTCAACCGTTGTGTTGAAGCTGTGCACTTCATTTTATCACGCTCCATCACTACTATGTATGAGCCTGTAAGAAGCGCGCTTCTTCCTCCACCCAAAACAAACACACTCAACCAGCTGCTCTGTGTTGCCACCAGCAATTAGCAAATTTGCTTTTGCCGTACTGTACTATCTGGTTCACAGGAACAAAGGTTTGCTGCTATCCATCCGTCTCCTCGCATCCCCCCCCCCCNCCCCCGTAAACACACACAGGAACTCTCACAGTGAAATGATACGGGTACGTCAGTCGGTTCACATGATTTTTTCAAGCTCCCCACGGCCCTTTGGCAGCCAGCCTCGACGAATCCCACTTACCACGCCTATTTCCGACCGTGCGAGAAACACCCATTACGCACTTTTCTCATAACCCTTCGATGAGTTTGAGTACGCCCATAATTCAACTGATTTCTCTGGTTTTGTCTTGGTTCCCTATTGAAGGTTTATCTAACTTACTAGGCAAGCGGTTTTGTAGGCTGCGGTTTACGAGCTGGAAATTGGCGAATTCGTATTGCATTTAACGCAATTGGTTTTGAAGACCCACTGATGGCCTGGAATGAGACCAAGTGCACTACTTTGCCAGAGAATCCATAATAATCAATGTCTTAACGTGACGTTTGTCAGGTTGTTCATCTTGGCTGCTGTGGTTGGTTCGGGCGTAACTAAACAATATTCACCTGTGAATTGGGATCCCAGGCGAAATTTTGCATTTTAGGCTTTGTGAATTGATGCCGGTAAACTCGCACAGATTCAGAAAAGAACACGTTAGCTTAACGGGTGCAGCCATACACCCATGGTATTCATTGTTCACCTGGTCCCTCGTACCCCTTGCCTAAAGCTTCGCTGCTAGACTCTCTTCAGGGGAAGAAAAATAGCATATACTGTTGTTGAATCATTTCATCAACAAACACTATAAAATGGCTTAATTACCCCCCCTCCCCCCATAACAAATTTTGTAAGTTTCTCCTCGATTACGGCTGTGATTACGGAACTTGTTTGACATCTTTGTGGTCAGGCGATATTCAGGTTTCAAAATTGCCAAACTGATGATTTGGTCATGATAGAAACAAAGGAATGACATTTCTTTATTTCTGTTACAAAGAATGAACTGCATTAGGCCACCGCGAGATTGATTAATCAGTAGTTGATAATGTCATTTCTCAAAATTTTAAGTTAAATATCCAAAACATTCAACCGAAAAACAGAACAATATGTGTTTTTTTCTAATGAGCATGTCAACAAAGGCACACGAATGTTATCCGGCTTTATTGTGAACAACTACAACCCTTATACACACACTAGAAACCAGTTGTCTGGTTCTATTCACCAGTTTAGTATACATCGTAGACAAGCGACATATAAGATGCGAGTTCAATGACTTACGGTAATCCTTTGTGGCAACTTCAATTTGTGCGGCCACACCTTGTCCGCTTGCGGTACGCCCTGCCAGACTGATGTAGTAATGCGTGCTCGGTTCTAGTCCTTTCAGATAATAGTCCGTCACCTCCGGACCGATGGACAATGTCTGTGTACTACTAGCCGCCCCGGTGTCTTTCCCCGCGGTGTCACGTGCTTGAGGCCGAGCACGGTAGCGCAACTGGTAACCAAGCAACGCGCGACCTTCAGGCATATCTGGAGCGGTCCACAATAGCTGAATGGTGGTCGGGTCCGTAGAAGCACCGCGAAAATTGAGCGGTGCGGATGGAACTGGTTTACCGTCCAAGAGTTGAGAGGGCCGCAGATGCGAAAAAAGTCAACAGAGGTCAATAGATTTATCTTATCCGGATGCTTGATCAACAGTTGTGGAAAACTGATTAGTTAGATTAGCGTAGGTTAGCTTGAGTTAGGAGTAATTGTGTGTTGGGAGGATCGGGTGGGGGTGGGGGTAGGTAAGTGGCAGAGACAATGGGGAGATAGTACGCGGGGAGCACACAACAGCGCAATCCAGTGATGCATGCAGTGAGTGCATTAGGAATCATGGAAATCATTTGGGTACACTATGCATTTTGGGGTGGGGGTTGGGGTGTGGTGAACGGGGTATAAATTGATTTCCAATTCATTTTGTGAACTAAGAACGCTGTTGACCTGTCATTTCTGAATACACGTGAAATGGTAACAATAACAACAACAGATCCGTGTACTTGTCGATTCCGCTTTAGGTTTTGTTAGTAGCATTCCAAAATAAGAAATTTTAGAAAACGTTTACCTGAAATGAATTAATTACAACTGCAACTCTACATAACAAAGCCCGTTCCCAGTGGAATGCGTGACTGAGTGATCTTAATGCAATGTCACTCACTTTGTTATAGGACAAGCACGCTGTCAGATTCCAAACGCTATGTCCATGACCAGGTCTGCGTTGTACTTTATTCGTAAACTGCTAAGTGTGTGAGTTAATGTGAAACTGTCATCCCTGAAGATGGTCCCTCAACTGACAAGATCGATCTCATCGTTTATCGGAATGTTTCAGTAGACATCAACGTGTGCCCGAGACTCAATGGTCTCACATTCAGCAAAATATCGTGGTCTGAATTGAGAACAGAACAAGAGCCTGACATAACTGTAGTTCAGTATTGATACATCGCTACGCATTTGAAGTTCGGAACGAATTCGATTTCACTCGCATCACTAGTTTGGATTGTGTGTTGACCAGTTACGGACTATGCTAACCTAGAACCTCAGCTACGGTTATCATCGGGTATATCTTCCATGAATGCACTGCAGCCGATGGCGGGCGGAAGAGTGGGGGGAACAATGTTCTTAGGAGGACGATGGCGTTTTTATCACTCCTAATTCATGACGGTAATTTTCTGTTTGTTTTCTAACAGAATTGTGAGGCTAATTCTTCCCAATTTCATTAAGCTGAAATGACCGAATAAAAATTCTTGTTTGTTTACCATGAATATTGAAGTAATTGAATGGTATTATATATTATTCTAGTAAATAATGACTTCTTCTTTCCCGATCTTCGTTTATTTCTCTTTTATTGAGCGTATAATTGTAAGAAACGATTTTAGGAAGCAGGAGATGGCCAGTTAAAGCATTACAATATAAAACAACGAAAAATTAGATAAATTACTCCGCTTTAATGTGTTTTGAGTGCGAAACCTCGGATCGGTTGTCGTCTGATCTGTTTTCATATCAACCGATTTCGCAACAGGCACCACTTTTGGCGAAGTGAGTATTCAACGAAATAAATGTTGTAGTTCCGTTTCAAAATACATTCAACATGACACTGTGAGTTATAGTTTCAATTTTTAGGACATTTGTGAGTGACTTAAACATACTGCATGTGGTTAGTTAATTCAAGGGTTGGCTTTGGTTATGATTATGCTGCTTTAAGATGAAATCAGTCCCCAAATGTAAAAAGTTCATGCAAAGTTGGAATCGGATATCAGTGATTACTCAGTTTGGCATTCATTTCATAACCAAAAAGGGATTTTTGGACGGGTGAATGATCACCTTTGTTATCATGTGCCTCTTATTGTCTGTTCTGCTATAAATATCATCAACACGATTAGACAAATAAAAGAGCCCCCAAAATATCCGGTTCACGTCATCGACTAAGAAAATTAGTACATTTAACAAATATTACTAGATGTCCGCATTCATATTACATGTATTTCTAAAGATAACTCAACTGTTAGAGGAAGTGGTGATGTAGCCGATTTGGCGAGCCGACCGATATTGAATGCGAAAACGTCAATTTACTGAAAGTTTTGTTTCAAAAGCCATTTTGCCAGAAAATCCATATGAAGCAGTTTCATCCAATTGATGCATGTTTAGAAGGCTATTTGACAGCCATGATGTGAGATCTTTGAGACCTTCCGTGGTAAAGGAACGTGTTGGCCGTCTGACTATAATTTCAGTTTTGACTTTTGTGAAACGAAAGTGATCATGTTAAGTTGGGTTTTATTACGTTCAATTTCATCGTAGTTCCATCAGTTCCGGGATTAGGTTCAAACAGCATGTCACTCAAACAGTTTAGGTAGTGCGGTAGCCATTTTTGCGGCCCAAAAGTCGAAATTACCACCCAAAAGAAAAGCAGCTGAGTAGTATGCAACACACACACAAATTCACCTCTATTTGAACGATAAATATGAACCGCAAACAACCCCGACATAAAATATTACAAGCTTGTCAAAGATCTATTTCATCAGAAGTGAGAAGCGAAAGAAAACTGTACGTGTGTTGTTGCATGCGTGTATGACGAATCGGTGTCATGCTGGCCGTTATGGAGGAAAGTGGAACGAGATGTTTGATACAATTGCTTTACAAAACCGTAGCATTTAGGGCGATAGCGCTGACTAGGTGGAATGGAGTTGAGCTTCCCATAAAATGAAACATTTCTTTGCCGTCAACGCAAAATTTCTTCATTCACACAAGTGTCAGAGTCGAAGATATTTTTCATGCCCCCCCCATCCCTGTGCACTACATCTCCTTCCGAGAATGTACTGCTCAACCGAGGTGCGAATACCATGGTCAATTTGTTGGTTAAAATAACAACCAATCCCATATGACTGTGGTCTTAAAGCCACCCCCACACCTCACCCCCTCCTATCCCCGACACACACACAAGCCACAGTGCACGCCTGTCCGTGAAACGCGATCATCAAGCGATTAGTCCTACTCGTCCCGAAACCCGAACAGCGGGACTTTTAAGGCACACAACAATTTATGTGCACGAGACTTTCTTAACGGATTGCGTGTGAATAATTTCAACAGACAAATCCAATAAAACAAAACACAATCAGTCTGGCATTTCATTGTAGACAAATCAGGTGTATGACCTAGCGCTTTTTTCCTTTTTTCCGACATGCGAATAAATGTCTTTCGTGTGTGTTGAAAGATTAAATGCGTTAATTTGTTTTACCACGCTCTCTCCCACTGAGAATAATTTGATAATGTGCTTCTACTGTCTAAAAAGCGTTCAGTAAACTTCAGTCCGTTGTATAATTCTGCGAACGTAAACAGTCAGTCGGCTGATTTACAAGAAATCCTTCCATTTGTTGACCACACCACTGGGATATTACGGAATAACAGCCGGAATACAGGTGACTTTCCTTCACTGGACTGACCAAATCATTTCTTCAAGTTAACACTTGATTATGAATGAGTTATGAATAATATACCACTTGGCCCTATCACGGCGTTGTTGCCACCGTATTTCCGATCAATAAGCGTGTGCACCCCGCCACCTCCTGGTCCGATTGATCCAGCTGTGACTGCCAAACTTTGGTTATCGTACACATTTTGCCCACCCGAATTTTCTTGTTGCCTAAAGTCGTTGTTCTAATCAAACTTTCACATATTTTGAAACATTTATTTCCTGAAATATGCTCCCATGAATGTTTGTGCATAGTTGAAAACAAAACAACTGAGTATAACCGGATCTGTGGTGATTATTCTTCTTGTCCTTTTGAATTTCCAAAGGAAATTCATTCATTCATTCGAGAAAAAACATGGAACTGTTGAACCTTTGATCTATAATTTGATTCGTATCGGTTATGCCACAGGTCAGCACCTTGCTTGCAACACTATCTTACAGCTTAGATGTTCGATTTAGGAAAACATGGGTGCCTGCGTGCACGGGTATGTCCATCGCAGTCAGTGGGTGTGCATTCAAGTCACATTGAATGACGTTCTCGAACACGTACGTACCTGATCGCCCATGATCGTCAATCGGGGTTCTCAATCGGACTGCTGTTTGTCACACGGCTATCCCTCCCCCCTTATCGGCATAGAACGCTTGTCACGAACGAGAAATGCCACTTACACCATTTGGTGACACGGAAGTGACTGTGACGATTAGGGCATACACTACAGACCAAGGACTGTGATGACTCATTCAGGCCGGATCACAAATGTATGTCGAGTTGACCAACTGAGTGTCAGTCACGAAGACCAATACACAGTGGTTGGCCCTCAGAGGGCAGGGAACCTATGTGAGTGAACACAGTTGTTCAGATTTCTGTGGAGCTCGTGGTAGTAAATGATCAGCTTTTCATTTGGAAAATGACATTTTGCCTCACATTTAGCCGATGAGGAAACAACTATCGGTCTCATGAAGAAAAGTGAAGATGTGAGCATTGAAAACCAGTCATTTCCAGGACAAATGTAGTTGGAACTACCAGCTGGACAGCATTCCGCTCCAGTTAAAACCTGGTTAGCTATGCTCGATAGACCTTGAACGGATCGAACCCAGGGCGAAAAAGTGGGGACCAAGCGTACCCGGCACTACTGACTACTAAGGCGTAGCATTTGAAACGATTATATTGCACCATCAGCTTTTCTAGTTGTTGGCGATCTTTCCACCCCGGTCTTCGCAGCACTCGTTTCAAGGTTTATAGCCCCCCTGTAAAGTGACGGGTTTAGAGGGAATGCAAATTTTCTGTTTGTGGCGCATGATGTCAGATCGATTGTCACATAGATCTAGTGTATTTCATCACTAGTCACGGTTACACTGGAAAACTGCTCTTATTTATTTGTCACTTAAAACGCTTTCACTAACAGACTTCATCACCTCCACTTAAGACCGTCGAACGGCTTAAATTGACTAGATCTGTTCGCTAGTTCGAGGACGAAATCATGTCTCTTATATTTCATTCGTTATAAAATTACTTTATCCTG